TCCATGAGGCGCGCACAAGTCATCGGCGCACCGCTGATACCTAGCGGCATACGCCGGTGACGATACGAGCCGAACGGAGTGACGATAGTAGTCTTATCGGCGTCTTCAGGGCTCATGCCGATCTGATAAAAGAACTGCTTCAGATCCAGCACACAAAATAAAGAGCAACCTCCGAGGGAATCCAAAATGACATCAATACGCGGAATCCCATACGCCGGAATTCGGGTAAGGGCATTAACGCGACGCAAATCTGCACAAATGCGAATGCTACCATCCTTCTTTGTCACCACACAAATCGGTGAACCCCAACAACTGCCGAAGTTTTCCTCCAAAATTCCAGCTTTCACCATACGATCCAATTCAGCTTTCACCTGATCCTGCTGAAACGGAGGGATCCTGCGAGGAGATGATCTCACAGGCGGGGCGTCGACCATATCGATACGATGCTGGATCAGAGGAGTAAATCCAACATGACCATCTATCATGTCCTCGTAAGTTGAAAATAAAGAAATTACTCGCTCCTTCTCAGACTCACTGAGATCGGCACCGGACAACTGAGAAATTAAATCGGCTCGCCAGTCCGACTTGGATTGGCTCTCAGGATAAAGCGGATGCTCGGCTACACCCACTTCGAGTTGTCCCAGCTCAAAACGCTTCGGAATGGTCACTGGCTCAGTGGAAACATTCCGGACGACACAAGGGACGGCCTGACCGGACACTGTAACCATGGACGGCACAAACTCGAGTCCCTCGATGTCAGCAGACGGCTCTAACATCGCTGGACCACTGAAATCAACATTTGGAACGAATCCCGGAATGATCAGCTCATGACCCGGAGGGACGGACAAATCGTGCTGTAAAATAACTCGGCCTACGGAAATAACTGAAGCTGACACCGATCGCACCACCCGAGATGGTGTCATCACGAGCTGTCCCCTGGAAACATCCACGACACATGGACAGGCTGACAAAAACTCCAGTCCCAGCAAGACGGGAACGTCAATGCTATCGGTCACGAAAAACGAAATTGCAGTTGTCTGTCCTCCCAGCTTAAGTGAAGTCTTTACTTTTCCCAGCAAAGGCAAGGGATCCTGGGTTGCTGTCTTAGCCTGCGTTGAAGTCTTCATGAGCGGTGGCTGGTGGGGTAAAACGTCAAAAACGCTCTTACTAAGCAAATTAATTGAACTTCCTGTATCCAACAAAAGTGAACAATTAACCCCTCCAACTACACCGTCAAAAGTCATGTCGTTCCTCAGAGGTACGACTCTATCGGGAGCTACCGAGGCAGAGACAGACTCGCCGCCGGAGCGCTGCTCGGGAGCGGCGCGCGACTGAGCGCGGTCAGCTGACTGGCCGGTGCGGGCGGCGGAAGCGCCTGAGGCACGCCTGGCGTCCCTCTGACCTGCTGTTGAGCGGGTCCTACCGTCGGGACGGTGGCGGGGACCCACTGGGAGTTTCCCGACTCAATCTGACACACAGAGGACAGATGACCCTTGCCACCACAGCGGTAACACACAGAGTTCCTATGGCGACAATCCCGTCTGACGTGTCCCTTCCTCCCACAACAAAAGCACGTCCTATCCTGTCTCATCGGTCTACTGGGACGCTGCAGGCGAGCTAGCTGTCCCTCGAGCTCCTTTACCCTGTCGCGGAGAGCCTCTGTCTCCGAGGAGACCTGTCTCACTGGTGCAGCCTGGGCACCAGCAAGTCGAGCTGCACAGCACATGTTGCGAATCGACGCGACTGCAGCCTCAAAAGTAGTGACACCGTCTGAGACGAGCTTCGATTGGAAAGTCATCGGGAGTGACTGCAGAAAGTAATTGAACAAAAGTCCCTCCTCGTCACTATCGGGGAATGCGGCTGAGACTAAGCCCCTAAGGCGAATCACAAAGGAGTCTAGGTCAGCATTCTGATCAAACTTCACAGCCCTCAGCTGGACCTGGGCCTCGACGACACCACGAGAGGGGAAAGCCTTACGAAGGCCGATGAAGGCAGCTTTGACAGTTTTACGTGACTCTTCCGGCAAACAATCGTACGCGTCCCTAGCTACCCCGGAAAGACACAACGGCAAAAGTGAAGCTTGTTTGGTTGCATCAAAACCTTGCAAGAGTGAAAACGTTTCAAAATCCTGAATGAATCTCGTAATCGAGCCAGAAGGGCCAGAAAAAGAAGGCAAACCAACTGAAGCTGCGAAAGGCTGAGAGGTAGCCATGATCAAATGTAAGACGGAACAAAAGGAAAGAAGGATGCACAATTAGCGACTCTGCGTATTAATAAACACCTTTTTGAGTACGAATCAGTAAAACATAGTACCTAACTAGATGGCAAGGCGGACAGCGATCGGAATTTTAACAATATGAAACAGGTTACCCAAGCATTAATTAAACGTAACAGCTACAGTCACACTCACGAATAAAAAAAAATCAGTCTACGTAACACTCACGGTATCTTTGCAGTCCTCATTCAGTCACCTGATGTGTAGCACACACTCAGCTCGGCGTCGTGCGGGGTCCTTGGCAGTCTGCCAGCCGCACGGTGTCACGACCGGTCACGGCCAGCGGCTCCTGGCACTCCGCCAACTCCGGCCCGCTCGGTCGCGGCGAGTCGGCCCCCGGAGGGTAGGCTGTGCCGCCGGGCGCCGGCAGCGGACGGTCCTCGGCGGGCGGCGAACAGCTGTCAGCAGCAGCTGCGGCTGCGGCTGCGGCTGCGTCCTCGGCGACGGATGGCGACAGGGTGGCTCAGGGCCACGCTGGTAGCTCCACGTTGGCGGTGTCGGTGGCTCAGCAGGCCACGGAGCGCTGGAACTCAGCGCAGGCCAGCGAAGCTGAGAGCCAGCCCACGGCGACGCAGATGAAGCAGGCCATCGGAAGTCGCCACGGCTCGAGTCTGAGTCGACGGTCCAGTCGCTTCGCCCAGGCGTGTGGCTCGAAGAGACCAGTAGCTGCCATAGTTGCAGGCGCTGTCGGCTGTCCTCAACAAATCCCACCGCTGCCACCAAATGTAAGCGTGGGCCGGGGCGGCGACGACGTCGGCGTCGGCTCTCGAGCACGCGGGCCAACACAGCAGTCGGTCATCTTCTAATTTATTAGAACCATAGTCTGGCCAACAAAGCCCGCGTCCTTCAAACCGCGTCCTTCAAACCGCGTCTTTCAAACCGCGTCTTTCAAACCGCGTCTTTCAAACCGCGTCTTTCAAACCGCGTCTTTCAAACCGCGTCCTGTAAAGCGGCCCAAGTAACGTTTAAACATAATTTGAACGTTTTATGACACAGAACACGCTATAATAAATTAGACAAAATTAATTAGACAGTACTAAAGCAAACAAAGGGTATCGGTAAAATCAAACAAATCAACAACTCAGCGCTTACCGTTCGAGATCAGACGCACTCAATCACCATGTGCACTTCACAGCGGTCGGGCACGGAAATAGCCCACCTGCGCGGACACGCCCCGACCCCCGGCCGGCGCAGGGCCGGACGGCACGCGATTGGTCGGCGCCGGGCGGTCACGTGACAGGTCGCACAGGACGTCACATCCGCCGGACAGAAGGAAAGCGACAACTAAATAATAATAATGCGTTAAACAGTGCACCACTTACAGATGAGCATTTGGCGTACAGCTGAGGCCGCTCAACGTGACCTGATGACCTGTCCTTTACGGAACCGAGGCTATAATTGTCGCAATATTTTAAGATGTATGAGGAAATGTTATGTGCGCCCCGAAATGTAAATAATGCATTTTATCATCATCAACAACAACAAAAGCAACAGTGGCAGCACCACCACTCAGTTGTTGACAGCAGTCAGACCACTCACACCATCCACTGGACAAGTCCTCTGGGTTCACTGACCCACACGGTGTAACCCCGCCCTCGGCGTGCGGTCCCTGCGGTCTGGTGGAGCGTGGGAGAGGGCAGGAACTTTCCTCTGCCCACCGCCGCCGCCGCCACCGCCACCGGCCGCCACCGCTGCCACCCGTCGCCGCCGCCTGCCGCCCGTCTACCGCCGCGCGCCGCGCCGCCACCGCTTGCTCGGCGCCGCGGCGCGGGCGGGCGGTGGCTGTGACTCTGTTGACCCACTACACATACAGAGGTGCTTGACTGTAGCGACGTGCGGACACTCACGTCACGATTCACGAGCGTGACTGTTCCGTGGCGCCTCCGTGTTTTGGGTATGGGGGATGTGGGGAGTCTGTACCGTCACTGCAGCATTGGCGTGGAACTGGCGTGTGTGATTGGCGTATGGGGAGCGAAGAGACACTCCGCGATGGGGCGAGCGGACGGGGAACACCTGTTGCGGCCCGGTAGCCGTATTCTATTCAGTCAGTGTCACTTGCCTGACACATATCTGGCCGGTTCGGAGGGTGGAGTGATCGCACACGATGTGTTTTCCGGTGCTGTGTTTCCGAATGGACTCGATCCTAAAACAAGTCATAGCATATTAGATGAATTTTTCCAGATGATGCTTCATTGGGTGGTGATGGTGAATCCATTTTATTCTACTTCGAAGTTTTACGCTTCTATGTAGTGGTGTCGGAGTTTCCAGGAGACATTCTTGTGGGGTTTGTGCGAACAGTCATTTTCCCCACGAACACTACGCTGCATGATTTGCTCAATTGCTTTGCAGTGTAAGCCCTGGTTTTTCTACAATTTTCCCCCGAAGTGTTGTTGGATGTGTAGGTAGTATTATCTGGATTAGCCATTTGAACCTCTTTCTGGGCATTTGTTAAAGATTATTGAAGTCCAAGTGACTTACCATTTAAATTGTCTAGTTCGAACTGAACAATCGCGAAATCGAGCCCTTGCCCTCCCTTTCCATTCTTCTGTATATTTCTGCCTATTTATCTCACTTAGCTTCGGTGTACGCATTCTGGCTTGACCAAGCGTTAGCCAACCTCCCAGAAGCACTGGAATGACCACACGCGCTTGACCAGCTCAATGCCAACTGCCCTCCCTGCCTCAACTGATGGCCTAAACCTAACTCGTCCCTCGTTCGTCCACAGCACAACCGTACAGCATTTCTCGTTCGTGCTGACCAGTATCGACTCGAAGTGGACGTTCGGCTTCTGCCGACACGCGCCTCAGAAACAGACGGCGCTGGTGCTCCTCAGCGCCTTCCCCTGGCACGACACATTCTTCAAGTGAGTTAGAGGGATGTCATGAGGTGTCTTGCGGCACTGTGTTTAGTGTCAGGAGGCTCACTGTGTGTTTTGACTCGGAAACGTGTGCCTTCGGTCAAAATGCGTCTGGACCCTTGGCGTTGTTGTTTTGCCCCTCGACGGACTGAAGTGTCTGAAATTATCTGATCAAGGAGTCCGTCTGAAATGATCTGATCGAGGAGTCCGTCTGAAATGAGCTGATCGAGGGCCATCTGTCACCGTTGCATTGCTCTTTGACTGACTGCTTAACTTACAGACGTGATCTTACGACCATCTGTACCCTGTTTTATTGCATACTATGAAAATGTCTGGCCTGACCGAATATGACCATGTTTTCACTATTTGTCCCTCGTCAGACTGCTAAACTGTCTGTCGGACCTGACGGCATCCGACGACCAGGGGCAACTATGGACCTGTCTACAGGCGTTACACCGGAGCCCCGTCCCCGACCGGGGCGGGCCCGTCGTAGTTCCTCTACCTGAGGGCAAGGTAAGTCCTTGGGGGTACTGGATTAAAAGGTTCAGTGTGAACTTATTTTAAAGCTGATGTAAAGATGTTCTTCGTATTGACTCATTATAACGTGTAGATAAGCATGATTTAATGTTAAAAAGACATCTTCCCGAAGAAATTGTATTTCATCCGAAACCGTGATTGCCTAGCAGCTTTTCCACCTACTTCTTTGCTGCTGTTGGTTCAATGTTGAGCTCACCTCTTATGGTAACCATTTAATGTGCGCGCATTGGTTTTTATATTCCTTGGCGTACATAACAGACATAGGTCTTCTACAAGACACAGGATGTTTCATCATTCAGTGCTGATACGAGCCGCTCAGTTCGCCAGCGTCTCTCCTTACCGCTGTGTCCGTTTCCTGTTTTGTTTCGCGCTCTGCATGGTCGCGGAACATATTTTCGCTGTTTGTACTACAACCGAGTTCCACTTCCTTTCTCGAGAGGGATGCCGCTATCGTATGGTCCGGGGACCGGCCTCGGTGCTGTATGGTGGATGTCGTTTTAGCAGCTCCATCTAGCTTACCTGTTGCAGGTTTGACATTAGCGTACGTTTCTTTCATTTCAGAGCTTTTCAGTGGCTTCCACAGATCACCTTAGTCTTCCATGCATACCTCAGGACGTAAGTCAATAGATATATATTGGACGAATTTCTTCTTTTCAAAAATTCGTTTTTGCTGTTATACATTCATTTTAAGTACCTTGGGTAAAAGCTCGATTTAGTTTGTTTTTACTGGTATCATCACATTTCCATCTTCTTCTTTTTTGTAGGTTCATGTTACGCATCAACGGTGTAACTGAAAATCAGAATTGCTCCTCGCATGGGCGCGGTCACTTTGTATCTTCTTTAGTTGATCAACTGCTGCCTAGCAAGTAGCAACTGTTCAGCTAATAATGTAATTATGTTTTTCATCATCAGCGTAACCTGACCGAATACTTCAACGCCGTGGACACCAACAACATGATGATCATGTTCGCCTCGATGCTGTACGAGCGACGCATCGTCGTGACGTCACGCAAGCTGTCGCGACTCAGCGCCTGCGTTCAGGTGGGTGCCGCTGTGACGTCATGCGTCGGATATGACGTCATTCTATGGTACAAATCAGTCACGGGGAGTCCGACTGACGGCTATAAATATTCCGACTGGGGAGTTATTCATTGGCTCGTACATACGTACATACGTGAAATCGTAGCGTATATGTAATGCTGGCGAGCGTAGCGCCGGTGGCTGCAATGCTGGTGTGACGTCACTGATGATGATGAGCTACTAGTGACGTAATATCTGGCTGTGGCCGTGCCATATCCGTGGCATGACGGTGGTTTCCGCCATTGGCGGCTTTGTTTCCGATCGTAATGCATGCCCAAGTGCCACTGTCATTCCGAACGTCCGCGAGCGAATTTTCTGAATTCTAGAAATGCCGAATGTTTGTGAATCGCGTCTGTGGGTTATTCCCCAGTCTCATAGAATCACACTTGTCATTGTCGCACATATGCCAGCAACATGTGTCAACCTTCATCCGTTTTGCGCAGTTTGAACCCTCACCCATCACCGCACCACTAGCCTCTCTAGCTTTATCTCATCGAGCCCATGATGACCCTCTAACCGCTGACACCGTCCCCGCTCCACCCACAGGCGGCGAACGCGGTCATCTACCCGATGTCGTGGCAGCACATTTTCATCCCGGTGCTGCCTGCCAGCCTGCTGGACTACCTGTCGGCGCCGATGCCGTTCGTGATCGGCGCCACAACTTCGGTGATGCAGCGAACCAAGCCGGCTGATATCGGGGACGCGGTGGTTCTGGACGCAGACAACAACCGCATAGACTCGCCGTTCAACGATCTGGAGACGCTCCCGCAGGAAGTGGTGAGTGATGATGCGGATGCCTAGATAATAGATAGGTATATCATAGAAAGATATCTGGTAGATAGCGATCTCGTAAATGGGTATATCGATACATAGGCATCTCATTGATAGCAATCTCACTGATGGGTATTTCAGGTAAGTATATCATAGATGGGTATCTCATGGGATAGGTATCTAATAAATTTGTGTATTAGATGGTAGCTTAGTGATGGGTATTTTATCAAACATTTCTATGAGTCATAGTCCCGGGGCGTGGTCTTTGCCCCGAGCCAGCTGTGAAAAGGCTTCTGGAACGTATAAGGGGGGCTCTGCTCCGGAACGGTAGGTGGCAGCCCCTGTGCCGTTCAGTTCGGATTACGTGGCAGCATGTTAGCTGGAGGAATTTGGTTGATGCCAGCGCATAGACGTTTGATAAAAGTCGGTGGATCTCACTGGTTGGTACATTGCTATGTTCCCTGAATGACATTGTAGTTCACGTTTGGATCATGTGCGTCATTTTTTGCGAGCTTTGCCGCAAGCTTCCGCTCTCCTAGGCATATGATTTGATAGTGTGGACTCGCCGACACCTGCCTGAGTTATTCAGGCTCAATGCCTATCGTGTTTTTCGGCTCGCAATATTGCTCGTTTCGATTCGAGGTACTGCATTTTGTGTTTACCTCAGCCAGGCCCCCAGCGGAATGAGAGGTAGACCTGCGTTGCGACCACCGGTTGCAATGTTGCCCTGACTCCGGGTCATCATCCCATCCGCCACCAGGTGTCCACACTGAAGCGGCAGCTGAAGAACCCCAACAACATGCTCGGAGACGGTGTGGCCCGCTCCTTCCTGCGTGCGCTCGTTCAGCTGATTGGCGGCTACAGAGACGCCCTCAGGTAACACCCTGTGCTGTCCGCCGCGAGGCTAAAGGACTTAGAACATGATCAATGTAAATCGCCTCGGCTGACTGATTTTCTGATGAACTAGTGTGGCCTTTACGGATCAAACGGGATCGAGGCTGATTGGGCGGGATAGTCAGTCATCAAAAGGTTAATAAATTGTGAGGTGTATAACTTCTCGGAATTGATAAAGATAAATCGGGATGATAATGGTGTTTCCTTCCGTTTTCTTTTTATTTTGGAATATGTTTTATTCACTGCTAATTGCGAGGCAAGATAAATCACAAGCTTCTTTGAACTTCTAGTTTGGAATTCATTCCTGAAGTACTTTTGCCTTACCAAAGAGTCGTGAAGTCATGATTTTTCGCGTTGTTTCAGGTTTCCTCAGGACTGTGCCAAGATCACATTTGACAAGGACGCGTTCATTCAGAGCCGGCCGGCGCACATACAGCCGTTTCTGAAGGAGATGCTGAATCTGCAGATATTCCATCAGGTGGGTGGGCGTCCGCTGCCAGCGACGAGCTAATCCTGGGTGGCTGTGAGTGATGGTTTCTTAGTTCCCCGCTCCTTACATGTATGTGCATCGCTTTGATGTATAATGGAGCGTTTGATAATTACGAGAGCACCACACAAAAAATAAAAAAAAATTAATATCAAAGTACCTATGTAAGTTTTTCATGTGTGTTCCAGAAAGGCAGCGTCAGATCTTTTCATCTTAAGATTGCAATCAAGTGAAGGAGATTTTCAGGTTGACCTAATACTTAGCATAAAACGGAATTTACTAGAGCAGGCTCATCTTCACAACTGCACCATAGGTTGTTTTCGGAGCCGATTGTCATGTCACAAAATGTCAAGCTCACGATGAAGTTCATCGTGTTGATACCCAAACGATGTTTGTTTCAAGACTGGGAATAAAGGTGTTGTATCGCAAAGCCCAACATTTTTATTTACCAGATTTGTTATAAATTTAGTTCTAAATCACGGAAGGTGTGTTCGTTATATGGGGTACAAAGGCTGTTTCTTACTCAGTTAATCATTGTCATAGTACGTCATTAGCGAGAGCGCCTTGTAACTCGACCGGACGTGCGTGACAAGAGTCCGTTTTGAACCGTTTCGGCGCCCGGTAGATGCTGTTTGCAGGAACAGCCTATATTCAGTGCCAGTGAACATGAAATAGTAATAGAATAGAGTCAGACGATGCTGGTGGTCATCGCGTAATGCGTTGGGCTAGGTTGACATGTTTCAGCGTTGAACACTAAATTCCACATTCTGTCCGCTTTTTCAACTGGACGGTCAGAGCTCAAAGGCCAACTAGGCACGTTCCACCCTGCGTGGGCGCTGACTGAGAAATTGCTAGCTATCATTCAATTCATTCATTGGAATTTCTTGGGAAATGACATGCTTCTCCTCTAAATAAATTCCTCTCATAAAACATCGGTTACCGCAGATCTCAATTCTGATATTCCTTCCGTATTTCGGATATCGATAATGACTGAATATTTTGTCATTATTTGAATGGCGTCGGTGCTTTCCCCCATTTTTTTCTGTCCCGACATCGCCATCCTATTTCGGTCGGAAGCCGACGGTGGCGCGCGGCCGCCAAAGCCGTTCTCATGTGGCCCACGTACCGAGGCCAAAAGGTGAGGCCGGCCATATTTCAATGCTGCCCGGACGTGAGCGCATAACCAAGGTTTAGCTTAGCCTTTGCCATCTCGGTCGGATGTTTTCTTAGCGATGATGTGTTTGTGTATTCGAGCAACGTGTTTAGGATGGCCGATCAAATTGCCGCAGATAGCGGGAAATCGGTTTACAGATTCAATACCTGATTGGTCATAAGCGATTTTTTCTGTTCATTGAGATAAATTATTTGCTGATTTTCTGATGCTCAACGTAACTCAGTAAGGTTTAGCGCGTTTGAACTTCGTTTATTGATCCTAAACACAGAAAAGCTTTATAAAAAAAAACATTGAAAGGAAATTTCAAAGAACTTGCTAGCGTCGTCCGAACTTAACCTTCTCATTAGTAATGTGTCATCGCCACACTGTTAACCAAGGCCATATAACCCTGTTAACAAGTTGAATCCAGTCGTAAAGCATCGTTCGTTTGCCGAAACTCAAGGAGCACTTCTCGTGCGTCTATTTTCTTTTGATCCCACTCCTTCCTGACGAGTTACCTAAGTTTGAAAAAGTCTGATGGGAACTGGGCGATCACGTTGCCAGTTTGCATCTAATCCGGTCCGTATCCGGTTTGGATATCTCTCTCTCTCTCTCTCTCTCTCTCTCTCTCTCTCTCTCTCTCTCTCTCTCTCTCCTCTCTCTCTCTCTCTCTCTCTCTCTCTCTCTCTCTCTCTCTCTCTCTCTCTCTCTCTCTCTCCTCTCTCTCTCTCTCTCTCTCTCTCTCTCTCTCTCTCTCTCTCTCTCTCTCTCTCTCTCGCTTTTTTATCAGACCGATTGTGCTCCCTTGTGCTTCGTTGACTCTCCACACTGATGCTTTTATTTTCACCTGTCCCCACCTCCGCCATTGTTCTATCGCTAACCTCGCCCTCCGTCTCCCCCAGTTCATAACGGAACGTCTGGAGATGCTCAACTCGGGTCAGGGCTTCTCGGACGAGTTTGAACTGGAAGCGTGCCTCTACAGCGAGAAGTCGAGCTCACGACTCACACAGCAGTATAAGGACTGGGCGAGCAACTTTCGGAAAGAGGGTGGTGCCTTCATAAAGACAGTACGCAGCAAGACCAACCCGGCACTCAAGAGCGCCGTCAAGGGCGTCAAAGAAACGGGCAAGAGCGGCAGCAAGCAAGTGAGGTCGGCCTACAAAAATATCAAGTGAGTTGCGGGTTGAATGGATGTTCGGTTTTAGATCGGCGTGGAAGCTTTTTATCTGTAGAGCATCAAATTATCGAGCATAGTTAGTTGGGCTGTTTCATCATCAGTTTCTTTTGTGCTTATAGGTGGGACTGTTTTTGTGCTGACTGCTGAATGAATGAATTTAATTTAAATCTAACCTGAAACATAATCATCAAATATGACATTTGGACACTTCAGCCTGATGTTACAAATAGTTACTTCAGTATCATATTTCCATGATTGGTATTCGAGAGCTGTGTTAGTCTGACTCATGTATACGCTAACACGTCCCGCATGTTCCATCTCCCGTGCTACGCCATTTCGCCCTGCTCCTGACACCAGGTGATATCAGCCCCACGGCACCCCTGGATAGCCCATTGCCGGCCCAGCGACGGATCGGAGCCGCCCGTAGGACCATCAGGCTAACCTTTAACGGTGTGCCGGTCGGACCGATATCCGCCTTAGGATTTATGGGTGTTTGATAATAATGAGCCCACGTTCGGGAGCCCGTTTGGGATGGTGTTACATCAGCGTTGGCGGCTGGGTTTCCCGGGGTTCGGCCGGCTAATTTCAGAGGTATATAGGGCACTACCTTGACGCCTAATCATGACTGGGCAGGCCCGCAGCTGATGCTCGGAGTTGGTTTGAACTCGAGATGTGTCCTGATCTGCGGGAAACGTTTCCGTGCATATAACCGTCTGGGGCGGGACGGGCCATCTGAATGAATCGGGATTGATGTAAAAGGCGTGTTGGCATGGGATGGTCAACAGGTATTCGATGGTTCGTTTGTCATAGGTCAAGCTTGATTTTGATACATGTGGAGACCAGTCACGTGTTTAATCGGTGACAGAGTAAATATCTTCGGCTGACTCGTCATACTCGCCAAAAAGATGAAGCACGCTAATTTTGAGATCCCCTGGAGCGACTTGTTCGACGCCAGGCCGACGTGTTACGAGATCGTTTCAGTGTGTATCATTTTCAACATCCCAATGGTATGACGGCCCCCTGTATGTATGTAGCAAGCAATGGCAGGACGGACCTCGCGTCTACCCTCAGGTTTCGTCCGACATCACCCACGTCTCTTCGCTCTGATTATCCTTACGTCTCCCTCCCGAGTCTGCCATTTGACCTCCCGCTCCCCTCCCTCAGGTCACGTCTGAAGGACATCCAGCAGACTCCGGAGGGCGCGCCTGGCGGCCGGCTGGACGAGGAGCCCGCAGAGTCTCAGCCGCGGTCCGCTCCGAGCTCCCCGGGCTCCGCTCGGCCCCGCCGCGGTATCAGTAGAGGCTCCAGTGCGGTCACCTACCGCCGACAGCCCACCGAGCCGCTGGCCAGAGTGGGAGGACGGGCGGCCGCCGCGACACAGAGCGCACAGTGAGTGGAGGGAGGGGGGAGGAGAGGGAGAGGGAGGGAGGGAGGGAGAGAGAGAAAGAACATAGTGCATTCACCATCATATAATCATCATCATACATATATCATTATTACCATCGTCCTCATGCCATCATCATCAACAAGCTTGGTTCAATGTGTACCGCGCTAAGCTGTTTCCCCATTTTCAGTAATTGTTTTCCAAGATAATGTGTATATGGCACACAGCTGCGTCGCATGCTTAGTAAATGCTCTCCTCTGGGATATGTGGTACTCTCTTCAAGTGCTCTGCGTCTGATGAAAAAGACAAGAAGAATGATTGCTTGTCGGGGTAATTTGTGTATCAGGGTACAGGGTACTACGTAGTTTGTGAAGCGTATCTTATAAAAGTCACCATTACATTTGCATTACAGGGAACTGCTTTTTTCATGAGCACATACTTCTATTTATATAGACAAGTCTGGCGTGAGACATGAATTTCCTTCTCGAGAGGAAAATATTTTCGGTATTTGTTCGTTTCTTTCTCTGCATGTCTGTTTTGTTTGTTTGTTTGTTTGTCGGGTCACGTCGGCACAAAGTGGCCGCTCGTTGGGCGTCGCGTTAAGCCGGCGCCTGGGGTCTATTCGGGGCGGCACTACGTCGTTGGCCTGTCTGTTGGCGCTCTACGAGCGGCTGCACTCTGCGGGACGACCGCGGTTCCCGTAACACTCTCAATCGCCGGGCGCCGTTACCGGCTACCGGTCGGTATTACCGGGCGCCGTTACCGGCTACCGGTCGGTATTACCGGGCGCCGTTACCGGCTACCGGTCGGTATTACCGGGCGCCGTTACCGGCTACCGGTCGGTATTACCGGCTGCTGTTACGGCAGCTTTAACGTCCCTATTACCGGGTGCTGTTACGGGAGCTTTAACGTCTTTGTGATCGGCTCTCCGCCGCCCCCGCCTCCGCCCCCGCCTCCGCCCCCGCCTTCAGTTCGGGCGATTCAATCTCTCGCCGAACAGAATGAGTTTGAGCGCAGTTTTCAGCAGAGAGCATGTACGCCCCAACTGCTGGATCAGTTCACAGTTGCTTTTGGATAGTTTGATTGGCAGAGGCATACGAACTCCATTCCATAGCCTAGCGTGGGAAGAAGGTACTGTCCATGACGTTGATCTATGGTTGTCATCTGTAGATTGTGTGCTTGATATCAGTTATAATTGAAATCAACTGACTGGATGTTCTAAATTATCTACTCGAATTGCGCTCCTTTGAAGATTTTAGGACAAAACGCACTTCCCCTCTTCGGCTTTGTCAAACATTCAGCATTTCCGGGGAGTGGGCTTCACAAATTGGCTTGTATTCTGTAACATGGAAGCCGGTAAATGTTCCTGCCGGGAAGACATTACACGACTGTGAACTGGCTTAGTCTCGCAGCTGACTCTACGATGATTAAGGAAGTCTTCCAAATTGCTGTTGCGTTGCCCGTGGGGGACCGCGGGGGCAGCCATGACCTATGTGTAAGGCTGCACTGCGGAGGCTGTTTCCGTGAAAAGCGGAAACGTGACATTCAGGTCGGTTTATTTGTTCATCAAACAATTGCATATGATACGGATTTTCCTCTTGCCATTTATTAAACTTATTCATGGGTTTGTCTATATGTCTTATTTTTTCCATTAATCAGCTTAGAGTGTTTGTCATCGTTCGAACACAATTGAATTTGAATATCATTGTATAATCCGCTACACGAGTATGCTAGCCGTTTCTGCAACACAGGAACGTCTAGCGTACACACAATTTAATTTGGCGTGCAGGAGATAATATAGTTACATTCATCCCCGCCTACATAGACTGGCTCGGCCGGCGTTTTTAAAAAGGAGAGAAAATATACCTGACAATGAATTTAGTCTAGGTATAAAGTACCTACTTAAAGTCTTCAGATATCTGTGTGTCTCAATGAGCTGATAGCTTGGTCATGCAGGCAATGCCGTGAATTTGCTACTTGATAATACGGCAATGTAGCAATAGCATCACTTGGCCAAAACAAGTGATGCCATAGTTGACCATTGTGCCATGTTTTTTTTTATTATAGTCAGTTATCAGTTTGTATCTATTTTGAGTGGAACTATTATCACATCGGCAAGTCATCTTGTACCCCGAAACAGAGGCAAATACAAATTTTCTTAATCGTTTTTTGGCGACATTTCTGATTCTGTAGCATGTAACCTTAGCGCCACTTTGCAATTGCGAGAAGTCAGCTGCATGCATGCTGCGTTACAGGACCTATTTGTTATGCCATCTCTTCCGTTTACGGCCTCAGCTACTTCGTCGACCCACACGATGGCCACCATCGTGTGGGTATTAGCCTCACTGGTCATTTGCTGCACCGGCACTGACCCATACGGGGACGTCTTGTTGCGTCCCTCGATTCGACCGACGGCCGCGATCCATTTTGTGAGGAGGCAGCTTAGCTTTATCGTCGCGGCCTATTGCGATGGAGTGATCGTATTTCGATATTACCCGGATCATTCAGGCCGATTTACGAACAGTTCGAATAAATATAAATCACCGGAGCGACGGTGGCAATGCGTCACCGCTGCCGCCCGACCGCTCGCAACACGCTATTCTTAGCCGGCGGGCCGCGGCTAAATTCGGCCTCGGTAAACTTTCGACGGCCTGTCCGAAATAAGAAAAACGCAAGCCCTGCGGAATGGGCCATGCTTCAATCGAATGCCCCCAATCAGGGAGCGGTTTCCCATATCGGTGGCGCTCTGTGGGGCACACGTAACGCCGTCGCTGCCGGCCGTGGCCGATCGGACGGTCCGTTTGGAGCCGGCGGCGGTTCAACAGAGACGGATGCAGCTCTGTGCGGATTTATTGGGCCGGCTTCCGGCGACCGGTGCAGCGACGCATCACTGAGGAGGGTAAGCGCTCTCACTGCATCTGCATCCGCCTCCGCCTCCGCATCTTGCTCTCGCTAGTTGCTTCCTCTCCCATTCCCTCTCCCGCTCTCTCCCTCTATATCTGTCTCCCTATCTCTTTATTTCTCGCTCTCCCTCTTCTTTCTCTTCTTTTTTCTTATCTCTTCTCTCTTCTCCCGTCTCTCCTCTCTCCTCTCTCCTCTCTCCTCTCTCCTCTCTCCCTCCCTCCCTCCCTCTCTCTCTCCCTCTCTCTCTCTCCCTCTCTCTCCCTCTCTCTCTCTCTCTCTCTCTCTCTCTCTCGCTCCTCCTCCTCCTCCTCCTCCCGCGGTGTGGTGGTAGTGTTGTCGATGTGTCGGACCGACTCCACACACCCTGCCGGATGCCGCGGATTGATTCATCGCCACGATTTGGCGGCTCTCTCCAGCGGGGCTCCCTCTGTGTACGCCGTGGCGGTGATTCGTTTTAATTTGTGTAATGGCCGGCGGCGGGCGCGCGGGGGCGGCCGCCGGCCCCCGGTCGACACCCGGGATGGTGGCTGTACCACACTGATGGGCGCGGCTCAGTCGGGTGTGAACGGAGGGAACGGCAGACTGGGGCGGATGTGAGCAACGGTGATGGGATGAAGGGGTGGGACATGCTTTGGTGCGTAGGGGTGGCACTAAATGAATGATGCATAACTGGGAGGTTTAATGTCAATGGCAAACCTCATCGACAACGACATATTCTTGAAGCATAACATTTTGTTGGATTGTAGTTTACGAGGCTGTCGTATGGATAGTATTGTTAGTGTCAGTTTGTTGTGGTTGCAACTAGCATAAGTATCCACTGTCATCATTAAGTTTATTTTACCCAATACATTCCGGTCTTATGCCTAGACATATCCAGTCCTAGATAGGATCAAGCAGTGGTAAAGTAATTTTTCGATGAAGTGCAGTAGTTAAGTCATTCAATTGATGGGTAAGTCCTGTCCATTCCAAGCAGATGACATAAGCGTCGTTAACCTTCCAGGCGGTGGGGGGGGGGGGCGGGGGGCAGTTTTTGCCCCCCCCCCCTTAGTTTTTTCGATATATCTCGAGAACCGCTGCGCCGATCGTCACCAAACTTTCAGTACCCTCCCGTGAATAGCTATTGCACATTGTGACCAAAAAATTTCCAAAGGCTATGATAGGTTGGACGCTAATGACGGCAGAGTGACGTCATTTCTGCCATTTTCGACCCAAAAAAAGGTTTCGCGAGAAGAGCTGTCAGCCCTACAGCTTTAAAGATATAGAAAAATGTTTCAGACATAAAAGGTGTAGAATTTAGAGGGCTACAAAACTGCTATCTCGTATTTTTAAAATTTTTGGATTTTGACCCCCAAAAAAATAAAAAATAGATTTTTTGAATATAATAGCCGAAAAATCCAAAAAGTTTTTTGAATTTCGAAAAACCGAAATATATGTGATAGTCCCTACCGCCTTCTATCTACATACCAAATTTGAGATCGATACCTCTTTTTTTGGCCAAGTTATAGCGAAAAACTGTTCAAAATTGATGACGTCAAATTTTCAAACTCAATTTTTAGCAATTCTAGACCTCGTAGCGCAAAACAAAGACCACCATTAGACTCCCCGTGACGAGCTGCATCGAATCAATACCCATTTTATGCAAAAATATCAACTATTAAATTTGACCTTTTTTACCTGACCTTGACCTGACCTCCACCAGAAAGTGGCCTAGACCGTACCTGATGGTCTTATAACCAACACCATAGTTGGAAATGAAAAACTGGCCATAAAACATGCATCGCACCACCTTAGTAAAGTTGGGTTAATGTGGTGACCTTTGGTGACCTATGGTGACCTGACCTGTGACCTGACCTGGTATGACCAGTGACCTCTAATAGCAACATATGTACGAGGCAACTGACGCCCTATCGCTGATTTTCGACAAAATGCGTTTTACTCGGTGTTATAGCGCTTTCCCTAGAAGCCCCGTGAACGGTGAAACATTTTATCTTTGACCTGACCTGTGACGTCATCGGTGACCCCGAGGTCAATGAAATTTGGTTTCCTCCGACAAATTTGACAGGACTATCGAACGCCGTTTGAATTTTCCGGATGCGTCCAGTAGTTTCGGAGATACGGGGGGGGGGCAAAAAAATGCCCCCCCCCCCCCCCCCACCGCGTGGAAGGTGGCCGGGAGACCCACCGCCTGCCGGGTTAATCAATCGACTGGCCGTATTTTCAGAAGCGCTCTGCAGGGGCCCGACCCGACCAAATGTGAATGGGAAGAAGTGCACTGGAGAAAGAGCAAGACGGAATGGAGTACGAAGAGACATACAAATAGCGAGTTGGAAAGGAAAAGACTGACAGACAATCGGACAAACAGATAGAGAGGGAAAGATACAGACGGGCTGGCAAACAAACAGAGAGAGGTTAAGACTTATACAAAAGGTACAGACAATATGTAAAAGGTACAGACACGCATACACGCAGAAGCTCAAAGAGACAGATACGGACAGAATCGCTCGCCATCCGGCTCTGTCCGCGGGGTTTCCGTCTATAGCGGAACTCCCGCTGCGGCACCTGGGCCAGCACCCGGCGTGGGCGGCGCCGACCCGGACTTCATTAAAATTTACACCTCACTTTTCATGTAGGTGTCCTGCACAGTCACTTAAGCCGCGGGTTCATTAACCTCTTTTATGGCAGCGTGTGGGAGGCAAAAGGCTTACGACCATACTGGGTGATCGCTACTGAATTCGGTCTATAATTATTCCCGTTTGACGTTGAAGGGAAACGCGGTCACTTTATTCTGCTTGATTTTCTATTCTGGCAGTGACAGTTTGGCGTTTGTGTGGGTCACAATGGCTATGTATGGGCAGTGAATGCGTTGGAAGTGACACTACCATCAATTTCTGTGGTGGTTAGGCGCCCAGTTTGGCAGTGTGCGGTTCCGTTGGTTTTTGCTGTTTCGTTTCTTGGCCTTGCTGGATCAATGTTTCACCCCAAATGGTCAATGTATTCAGTCTTGATGGCATTTGAATCTCAGACCAATCAATCTACTTATGTAACCAGTATAACGCCTTTTGGGGCGACTAACGGAGCGAGCGAGAGGGTGAGCCTTGCACGTGCGAAATTTCGAGGGGGTACCTCCAGCTGACTTGTGCACGGCACCCTACTAACCGGTCTCTAGCGATGTGCCAAATTTGAGCATAATCGGCCCAGCCGTTCTCGAGATCTGGGAGCGACACCCTGCACGTGCGCACGTGCAAAATGGGTCCCAGCTGACTTGTGCACGGCACCCTACTAACCGGTCCCTAACTGTATACCAAATTTGAGCGCAATCGGTCCAGCCGTTCTCGAGATCTGGAAACGACCCCTGCACGTGCGCACGTGCAGCAGCACCCCAACTCTGGCACATGAATATGCAGTGCCTAGTGGGTGCCTACCTACATGCCAACTTTCAGCGCAATCGGCCAAGTAGTTACCGAGATATTGCAACAATTACAAAACTGACACCTCTTCGTTTTGCACGTGGCACGTGCATAAGGGGTCACCCACATGCATCGGGAATAGTCCAATACTTGGTAGAAGGAATGAAGCTACCCTACAAAAATTACCGCATGTAAATCGGTCAAGTGGTTGCTGAGATATAAGCCTCGCAAAAGCGTCCGCACGGCCGGCCGGCCGCTCATACTCAGAAATTTCCGTTAATCTAAGGAAAGACTCCGCTCGCTTCGCTCGCTCCGTAATAATCCCATTATTATGGATTATGTCGGGCGCTGCTTTAAGCGGCTTTGCTTATATCGTGTGTCGAATATTCACTTTACAATATTCACTTTACTCGTTGGTTTGCTTGTAGCCATTCTTATTGTTCCCTTAGCCATACATAAACAGGTCTGTCTATCCCCTCACAAAAATGCGCTCTCACACAGCTACCCCATCCCAGTCGTGCTGCATCTCGTTATCCCCGCCAAGACCAGTCTACCCTTCTAAGCCACCTCAGCCTCAGCCTCTGAAGTGCCCGAAGCCGCTGTTCTGTTCCCGCCCGCCCCCCCCCCCCCTCTGACCAGACCTCTACACCTTTTTAGGCGCAATTTCAATAAGTTAAAGGACAAATTCAAAAAGTTTAAGTTCGAAATGCACGTGAACATTTTGAATTTTGTATTTAGCTTTTTGAAATTGCGCCTAAAATGCTGTAGAACCCAACACCCCTGACCCAGCCGATATACGTGTTTCAGAACGATCAAGTATCACGTGATTGACCCACCAGCGCCGGGATCCACCGAAGAGAATCTGTTTCCTCCCGCCAGCGGACCCAGCCTTTTGGATGAGGTCAACCAGGTGCTCGAACGCATCGAGGAGGTATGTATGTGTAAGCCGATTCAAATGGTCAGCTTCGGGTGTGACGCAGTGTGTGCTCTCCTTCTGGGACAACAACAAACATTCTGGGATAAAGTTTTAGCCGGCTGGGTGCCAAATTTGAAGAGGAATGGTGTTTTTGGTAGTAATTTCTTTTCCAAACTTGTACTTTTCACTCGTAAATTAACGAATGGAATAATGACAATGTGGCATTGTTTCACTCATCATAATTAGTTATTACACCTAAATGGCAATCGGCGTCGGCCGGTTGTCAGTTTGTCGCATACACTATTGCATTTTTCAACGTACGACGCCCACTGTTACAAGCATCGTAGTTAGCTTGCTGCCTTCAGCATCCATGATAAACGTCACGCTGTATAGCTGACCGCTATTGTCGATTGTCGAACGGACGTCTCTGCTTCTTCTTCACACGCCAGTTGCTGCCTCTTCTCTGTCCTCCCCTTCTCTTTCCGTGCGACTGATTGCTATGTCTTTGTCTGGTGGGAGCGGGGTAAAGGTCATGTCGGCGAGCCTCCCGGAATAGGGTGTGGTGGCCATCAGTGTCACATCTGCCCAGGCAGATGATTCGAACTTTCTGGAATCCAGCGAAACTCCCGAGTTTTCCTAACACCCATATTCTGGATAAAGCACGAGTGTTTTTAGTTTATTGCGTCGAAATTCTACCTTCGCTACCACTTTCCTATCAGTCTTAGTGATTACCTTAAGTACTTAAGCCACTTTGTAAAAAATATGTTGATTTATTTCGAAAGGCGTACAAAAGTAACCCGCTTATCGTATTTCCAAGTTACCCTGCGCACAGGAGAGAGAAACTGTCTGTACCCGCGCTCTATATTTATTTGTAACGGCAGCAGCGGCGACAGGCGGCAAACAGTGCAATGTTCAGGAATTACTACAAAGAAAGGCGTCACCGGAAAGGAGAGATGTCCTGACGAGAAGCCCGACATTTGACAAGCACTGGATATGTGCATAAGGTTTTCAGTGGCTGGTGTCTGTGTTTTTCAGACTTGTGGTGCGCTGTCACCGTTGTTTTGGTGTTTGTGTAAGGTAGTGTAGTGTTTCGTGTGCTAAGCTGAGTGTGAGCCGTATGAGAAAGGTCTGATTTGCTGAGGACGTTGTGTGATTATGTTGATTGTTCTGTCTGATGTCAAAGGTCGACTATGTGCCCGATATAGAAGGGTCGTAATGTTGATTCATTTTAAAGGCACGAATACTACTGTCACGAAGACTACCAAACAAGGCATTTGTCTTTCTCGAGGATTCCGAATAAGCATTCAATTTTAAGTAATTACCTACTGTTCAAGCACCCAATCTCACATGTTGCAAATTTAATCAGGTTTGTTTTGTGATGCATGTCATGTCTGTTTTGCTCCGACCGAGAGAAGCGGGTAGGCTATTGCCGGCCCCAGCTCGAGGCTGTCATACACGAGTAACTCGGTAGGCAGCGTGTCGTCTCCACAGTCGTCACTGTGCCTGCAATCTCATCAGCGGCTCGGCCCGGCCCGGCAGGTCACCATGCTGCATCCGGCGACCCTAACCGCACTCTAAAGCCGCCCTCGGCTGTGCTAGGGAACGTGCAAGAACTCGCAATAATCACAGCAGCTCATATGATATGAATGGAGTAGGCATTGCTAGCGAGATGTCTGGGTCTGTGGATTTTTTCGGTTGTTTATTTTGCATTATATTTATGTTTATATTTCATTTCTTTGAATAGGTTCAGTTGTATAAGATTGCTCTGGGTTTATCTATTCAACCATTGTGTTTTCTCAGGTTATGTGCAGGCGGGCCCAGATTATAACATTTTCTTTTTATTGTAATGGTGTTGTCTCTTGAGTTCACAGAACACTGCGCGATGAAAAAATCTGGAGGCTGTGCTACAGCGACCAGTAGCATCGGCTAGCATGTAATACACGTAACAATGAAGCCTTAAAGGGACTATCCCACCTTTAACATGGGGTTTGAGTTGAGATAGCCAAGTTTGTGGCGAGGTTCAGAAACCACTATCTATCTAGGTTGCAACCCCCGCGGCCTCTTGGTGTTGAAGAAATTCGTTCCCTTCATTTGAAAATGGGCCTTGCGCAAGGCCCTATCTTCAACATGGAGCGACCGTTAGTGTGACGTCACCTCGTTTAGTCATTCTGATTTAAATGGGTTTGTTCGTTGAAAAATCGCTTAAAACTTGGTCTGAACTTTGTTGTGGTGCCTACAGAGTAAAAAGAATCAGCTTTATGACAGTAATGTGGCCTGGGGAAGGAGGTAATTTTGGGCTGTGACGTCACATATTTGAAAGTTTGTGTTTGGAATATGGGAAGCCTAAGATGTTTAATGAAAAATAAATGCCAGAACCGTGTTCCTGGTCATCCAATCTATAAAGTCGGGCACAATTTAACTGGTTTTAACAACATTTTAGAAGGTGGGATAGTCCCTTTAATAATTCATCTCGCAGCCGATGTAAAACGAAATGAATCTGTTTTAACGAGACGATGACACCAAAGACTCGACGCGATTGTGGCACTGGAAAGGCTAGGCACGATTTGGAATAGATTTTCACTGACACACTGACCTCATAGCGAACAGAGTGAATTAATGTGTGAATTTATCGCTCTTTGGTCTCATTAATGCTGCGATTTGGTGGCGGCAGAAGTTGGTAAAGTACTTGTAAGGCCATCCTGATTCCTGGTGAATGAATTGATAAACCGCAGTGGTATTCCATGCAACGAATCATAAGCTTATGAGATACAGCTCCTCCTGAACAATACACCTTTTTGCATTTGAATTCAGCCATTCGCCATAACTGTTTGGGATCCATTTCGACAATCGGCATTGAGCGCAACTATTCCGGCGTGGTGTGTTTCATTTCAGCCATTCAGCAAAACAGATTGAACACTGAAATGAGCGTTCTGTAAAACAGTTTGACACTTCGCTAGACTTCGGCATCGAGCGAGCCAGCTCGGCATATGACGAATAATTTCGACCATTGACGATTTGTTTTGCACAATGTTGAACCATTCGTTCAATGTCGAGTTATAGAGGAAGATCGCCGAATAGTTTTGCACAATGGTGATTCTTTGTGACCAACCGCCCATTTGTAGCGCCACCTACATGGCGAATGTGTGCAAATGTTTTGCCCAATGGTCAAAAACTAACGCAAAAAGGTGTATTAAAATGCGGTCCAAGTGAGAGTTTCCCGATCCATTGTCAGTTTTGCAGTGGGGCATTACCCGTTATGTCCAATGCCGCCCAATACGCTGCAAGAACATGACAATTTTCCCGAGTGCACTGTTTATCCTGGATGACGGCTCCAACACTCTTGACTTCAGTTTTATGTCTACAATATTGTGTATTGTATTCGTCTCTGGGTCTGACCGCTCCAGTACCTTGTCCAGTCTGTCGACTCCAGTATTGTCCATCTCTATGGCCGACGACTGTATCGTCCGTCCTCATGTCTTACGGCTCCAGTGCAGTATTATCAGTCCTCGTGTCCGTCTCTCTGTCTGACGGTTCCAGTACTGTGTCTGTCTCTCTGTCTGACGGTTCCAGTACTGTGTCTGTCTCTATGTCTGACGGTTCCAGTACTGTGTCTGTCTCTCTGTCTGACGGTTCCAGTACTGTGTCTGTCTCTCTGTCTGACGGTTCCAGTACTGTGTCTGTCTCTCTGTCTGACGGTTCCAGTACTGTGTCTGTCTCTCTGTCTGACGGTTCCAGTACTGTGTCTGTCTCTCTGTCTGACGGTTCCAGTACTGTGTCTGTCTCTCTGTCTGACGGTTCCAGTACTGTGTCTGTCTCTCTGTCTGACGGTTCCAGTACTGTGTCTGTCTCTATGTCTGACGGTTCCAGTACTGTGTCTGTCTCTCTGTCTGACGGTTCCAGTACTGTGTCTGTCTCTCTGTCTGACGGTTCCAGTACTGTGTCTGTCTCTCTGTCTGACGGTTCCAGTACTGTGTCTGTCTCTATGTCTGACGGTTCCAGTACTGTGTCTGTCTCTCTGTCTGACGGTTCCAGTACTGTGTCTGTCTCTCTGTCTGACGGTTCCAGTATTGTGTCTCTCTCCGTCTGACGGTTCCAGTATTGTGTCTGTCTATGTCTGATGGTTCCAGTATTGTGTCTGTCCCTGTGTCTGACGGCTCCAGTATTATGTCTGTCTCTATGTCTGACGTCTCTGTCTCTATGTCTCTACGTCTATGTCTGACGCTCGCCGTCCGGCAGCGAGCCAGCGAGCGGCGTGCCTCGTCGGACGAGCGTCCGCGCACCCCGCGCGCCGCCCCCGCCCGGCCCAGCGTGCCGCCCCCGCCCGTGCCGCCGCCGCGACTTCGGCGGCGCCGAGACGAGGTACCGTGTCGCATGCCGCCCCCGCCCCCGCCCCCGCCCCCGCCCGCGGCACCAACACCCGGCTAGCAGCTAACGTGCACAGCGGCCACAGCTCTCTGTCTCGGTGGTTTTTGACGCTCTCGGTTGGTTGAAGTCGGCGGCCGGGCGTGTTGCGCTCTCCGCTGCCTGCTGCGGTCCGCTAAGAGCTTGGTCCGTCGGTATGACGGTCTGTCCGAGGACAAGCTACGCTCAGATAACGGTCTGCTCCTATCTGTGAATGCCACGCCGAAGCTGTGTGTGCATTGCCATGCTGCACCTTTCTTAACCCGCGCTGTGTGAAGAGCCTTTTGGCTAGTTTAGTTTCAACGGCATCGGTCAGTGAACCCTGTCGGTGAAGCCTGCTGCTGGAAGTTCGCTCTTTTTTTTGCGATACCTGCGTCACTGGGACTCCGGTGTGCCAGACACACGCCCAGTGGGAAATACACGCCGTTCTGTGTTTGTCCTTGGCTCCCCAGGCGGTGCTGAACCAACAGGTCGCCGAGACCAGCTGAAAACAGAGCTGTGTGAGACAAAGGGACCTGCGAGTCGTTTGATATCGTTTGACACACCTCTAGGGCCTAGACTAGAGGTGGCAAAATGTGGACCCGGGGACCCGGTCTATGGAACCGGTCTGGACCCGGATGGGTCCAGACCGGGTCCCCCAAAATATTTGGCCGGGTCCAACCGGGTCCTATCATTTCCCTGTGCTTTATGGTAAATATTAATATCTTTTATGCTTTGGCAAACATAGTCATAGTTGATGCAGTTTCAAGTTCATAAGTCCCAATGCCACTTTTGAATTTTAATATTCCTGCAGATTTGAGATTGGGCTACCTATTCTAAAGCATACTGGTCAGTCTTGCTTCAATTTCTTATCTTGTCACCTACAACAGAATAAACAAGTTCTAAGTGCTAGCAATCCATAAAACATTTCACCAAATGTTTGTACGGATCACTTCCATTCAGTTTGCTGTACAACACCTAGCAATATTTTGAGCTGAACATATCAAATATCAATAACATATGTAAGTTAGAAGCCAGTAGGTATGACTGAAATCCATTTATAAATGGACACAAATCCAATTGAAGCAAGGCTGACCAGTGGCATTCTCACCTGCCTTTTCAAAAACATTGACATATCAGTCACTATGCCCACCGGAAATCGGAGTTCATGTTTGATATTCAAATGCATTTCATAGCTCAAACAGCTTTGAAATTATTTCTATCACGGCCAGAAGACAACTCATAAAACCAACATGCCCTTGCATAAATCCGTAAAGCTCAAAATGAATCCAAGGCAAGGCCAAATAACCCAAGGCATTCTACAGAAACCGTGGTATTGACCAGAATTTTAGCCAGCTTGCGCCGCATGGTGGCGCTAGCAGAGCGTATTATACATATAGCGCTCTACTAGCGCCATCATACGGCAGCAGCTGGCAAAAAACTGAGTCAATACCAATGCCATTCTCGAAGGCCAATGATTCCGTGTTGATGTGAAAATGGCGCAATTGAGCGTCATATATGCTGTGCCTTACGCACGCTTATCTACTGCATAAAGGTTACAAATTTGGAACACGTTCGGGAAGAAATCAGGTAAGGCTCAGAACCCTTGGTATTTATTCTATATCTAGGTAGTAACAACAAAATGTAGTTTGTTTTCTACGTTAATAAATTGGCAACCTTGCAGTACTTAAAAGTTTTTTGCCATTACGATTTTGCAGTACTTTAACCCCAACAAAATTTTGCAGTGATTTAACGTCTGTTTTGTCCTTGCATTGCTATCGTGTCGACATTTCTGGCGGACCTCACAAAGTTTTGATGTTTCTATTTTGATTTTGAATGTTTTCTCGTTTGGGGCCTTGGATAGTTGATAATATTTGTAAGGACTAATGAATTTAATTCTAAAAACGAATATCTTTTACCAAAATATTAGAAAAGGTATGTATCAGTATGGTTATCTTGTTCCATGTTGATGTTAGGTTCTGACTAGTGAAGGCACTGCTCCATGGATCCCCAGTTCACATTTTTAGCAGCTGTAGTAAAAGTGGCTTAGGTTAGCATGAAATTCATTGGTCTTCTTACTTCTTATATTCTTAAATATGACCTGAATCTGGTTCTAAAATACAAGCTGTGAAGCGAAGTGAAATGACCATGGCATGAGTTTTTTACTTTGCAACACAAGTATGCCCAATTGGAAAGAAACTTTTTTCTTCTTGCTATACCTACAACTGTACACAATTTTCATAATGAATTTCGGGAACGGGTCCATCTGGTTCCAACACTGACTTAGACCGGGTCTGACCGGTTCCAGAAATGTGCCAGTCAGACCGGGTCCGGGTCCGGGTCCCAAAATTTTCCAGTTTTGCCACCTCTAGCCTAGACCTTTCAACAGCAGCCAACAGAACAGATAAACCTTAATGTTTGCCAGTGCTCTGGCGAGGAACATGATAGATACAATTATAAAAAAGAAAAACATTGACCTTTTTCCTCGAATCTATAGCAAAATTAATGAAAAATCACCTTTTTATTTACGTGATATTTCGGCCAACAGACCATTATCAAACGAAAGAAAGAACAAACATGTTGTTCTTTCTTTCGTTTGATAATGGTCTGTTGGCCGAAATATCACGTAAATAAAAAGGTGATTTTTCATTAATTTTGCTATAGATTCGAGGAAAAAGGTCAATGTTTTTCTTTTTTATAATTGAACAGATAAACCGGTCAGGTTATTCGTTTGCTATTCGTAAGAACGGATGATGATTTTATACACACAAGCGTTTGATCTAAATGATTGAAAGTGACAAAATGTTGATATTACGGACTCAGTGCCAATGTGTCACTGTCGTTATTATGCTGATTATATTCAAGTTGAGTATCGTGTAGGTCATTGCGAAGGGAGCATCTAGGGCTGCACGCAGGTTTCCGATCGATCACACCTTTGCCTCCACTGCATGTTCGCGTTATGACTACGCAGGTGTTCAATGTGCATGATGCTGTCTTCCGCTTTTTGTGCTTTCCAAATGAGACGAGTGTCCTTTCCGCAATGCTTAGATGACTGACTCACCAAAGACGACACAATGCTGGTCGTTTTACACTAGTCGAGCATTTGACAATTCCTATTCCGTCGCCCACTATCGAAACATTTAGGTAGAAGTGCTCAGAAAGACTTCGAAAAGTGCCGGGTGCGTTTGGGCAATCCATGCAATGGTTATTGGTTAGGCAGTGAGTTCGCAGTCAGTATACAGGGTGTCCCGAAATTGATACGCGGTTGTTTTATCCTCAATAACTTATAAAGTGCTCGAATTTATTTCACGGCTTATATGTTATCATAGTCCCCATTCAGCTGCATACACGGCCTATTGCACTCTAGCTTGTCACGTTTCAGGTTGTCAAGAGCCTCTCCTTTGAAACAACGCCATGCCGTTTATATCTTCTGAAACAGCCTCTTCTCTGAGCTAGCCCGTGGAAGCTTGCTGAGCTCCTTTCTGACGATCGTCCAGATAATTTGGATCGAGGACAGGTCCAGACTGTTGCCAGACCATGTCCCCTTCTCCCAGAGGCCTGGGAGCCTCGCTCGGCACTAGTCCTGGGTCTTCCTGGCGTGATAAGCTGGAGCCCTTTCTTGCTGGAAAATGGCCCTAGACATGTCCGACAAAAGTTTGACTCTGGTTTTTGAACCATTTACCTTTTCCCTCAGCATCTTTGTGGCATCAGTCTTCTTCAGCAACTCGCTGACATAGTAATAAGCAGTCACGGTCTGTCCCCGAGGCACCTCGTGAAGCTCAGAGCGCCTCTGTAGCTCATCATGCTCCAAATGAGATTCTTCAGCAGACGTTTCACCGTCTCGACAGCGGACTCCTCAGAGCTGCCGTTGGCCCACATTTCGATCGTTCTGGCAGTTAGGGGCTTAGAGACCACAAAGGGCACCTTGTCAATGAAAAGGACGCATCTCCAGTCCTGAATGGTCCAGTTTTTGTGGGTCTTGGCGAAATCCAGCTGCCTGCACTTCTGGACCACGGTAGGCCAAGTCTGCATCCTGAAGCTGAGCAGCTTCAGCTTCAAGATAGTCTTCAAATACTGGTGGAGGGTTGATTTGGATGCTGGGACATGCATCTCATTCAGTTTTTTTGTCAGCGATGTTGAATGGTGCATTTTAAAGGTCGACTTTGCAATCACGATTTTCGCCACTCGGCTCAAGGCAGTCTTCCGCCCTTGAACTGTGCTGTTCTTGAGTGTCTCTCCTGATCGTTTGCGGTCCATCCAAAGTTTAATTGTCGCAGAGTTGACGCCCAATTCTCTGGCATCCGGAACCTGGGTCACACCGTCCTTGATCATCCCCACCGCGCGGTAGCGGATCGGTAGTTTGTGCCTTTTCACTTTTGGTGATATGCAGTTTCTCCACGTTCCCTGTCTGGACAAGAGTGGCCTCCCGCGCCCACTACCGGCCGCGGTCGGGTTAGCCGCTTGGTTCACGTGATCGTGTGACCAGCAAGATGTCAGCGGTCCCAGAGCCGGTAAAATTGCAGTTGTTCAGCACTCGGGAGGGACAACATAACATGCGGCACCAGCCGCGCATCAATTTCGGGACACCCTGTAGGCTTATTTCAGTAACTAAGTTACCTGCCATTTAACGACTGTATTGATATTTGATGCCATAACATTATCAAATATCAAATACTAAGATACATTATCATAGCTATTTAAGTCACTTTGCTGGGCTTCGAGAGCGATCCAGCTGGATAACAGTCGCGTTGAGCTCCTTTTCAGCCTAAACTAATGGCTGAAATCTTCCTGCGGGCTGTCTCGCTGATTTCATTGTTTCTTTCGTGGTGCTCGGCATGCTATTTTTGCTACTTGTACCTACTTGGTGTGTAGCCGGATCTTTCTGTCGACTAGCTTTCTGCCTTACCACCCTACTGCGCACCTTTGTCTCGCTTGTGAAAGGCCATTTCTGCTCTCCGTCGGCTCTAAGGTGCAGATATTTTGGGTGGTGTTTGTAGTGAATGCCTGCGTGCTGTCTGCGATGTAGTAGTTTCTCGGTACAGTGACAAGGCTTTGATCTTATAGACCTTATAGTCTTGCCGTGTGCAATACGAGGTGTTTGATCAAGTATGTCTCCTGTGTGATTAGAGGTGCTGATGTTTTGATGTAGTGTGAATAGCACATCAAGGACTTCTGGCCTTTTCTATCGGTTTCTTCTTCTGCTGCATTACATCTGGGTGGTTATGTTTCTAAGTATTGCTAATCACTTGACGAAAACTGCCGAGCTCATCTCTCCGCTTCGTTTAAATTGAAGTCGGTGCTATTTTCTTCTCTCTTTTTCGCCGCTGTTCAGACGAGGTTGAGCTTCTGAATCAATACCCTCTCATCTTTGCTACCCCCCCCCCCCTCACTAACACGCACGCACACACAGCACGCATTGTACTGAGCTGACCCCTGCTGCCGTATCTGTGTCCACAGAACAAGGAGACGGACCTGATCCGACTCGACTCGGCCGAGGACGAGCTGGTGTTTGACCCGCTGCGGGCCCGAGATCGCGCGAGCTCCCTGGCGGGTCCGGCCGCCGTGCCGCCGGCCCCCCTACCCTGCCCGGCACCCCTGATCGGCCTGGGCCCCTTCAACGGCGTGCGGCCGGCTAACGGGGCCGTGCACAACCCCGTCTATCCGTTCTGTCAGCCAGGTCTACAGACGGTGGGCGTACCGCTGGTGGCCGGCGCCGGCGGCTACCCGCTCTCCGGCAGTCGCTCGGCGGCCAGCGTGCTCTCGGCCGCCCCCGCCCCCGCCCCCGCGCCAGCCCCCGCGCCGGCTCCGCGCCGCCAGCCGGTCCGCCAGCCCAGCCAGAGTAGCGAGGAACTGCTCAAGGAGTACGGGCTCGACTTCAGCCGGCTGGCTGTGAACGAACCGCACAGGGACCCGGCGGCGCCGCAGCCACCCGCCCCCGCCCCCGCCCCCGCCCCGGGCGGGTTCCCGGCGCCCGCCAAACCGCCGCCGCCACTGCCGCCAAAGTCCACACGCTGGACAACATTCGAGTGATCAAAGCTTTATTGGGGAACGGAAGTAAGATCTGGTCTGCCGCGTCGTGTTGCGTCGGATACTGCTCGGAGCATGCTCGTTTATATTATGCATGCGCCAATGCAATTGTGATGTTAACATTTGCTTCCAGTGACGCTGGATTGTGATCGATTTTTCGCGAATATTTAAAGGCTTTGCTGTGCTCAAAGTGTAGCGACGATAAACGTGGGTTTATTATACTGCGTCGCAGTCTTACTTGGTACGGTAGCCGCGTAGTCAGATTTTACTACACATTTGGTAGCCTGTGGCCTTTGGCTTGGTATTTATTGTGTTTGTGATCCTCGGTAACGTTATACGAAGCAACTCTGCTAATATTATGTTCCATGAGTTAACGGTCTCATCTTGTACGAATGCCGGCAGTATGTATTAGTTCTCAAATAATATATGTCTGACATGGTTATGTGTCTATGTGTTGCAGCATGGGTTCCCACACATTTTGTTTAGATGGTATTGCCATCTGCATTGTGACTTTTTAGGGGGGGTGGATAAAATGGTGCGTTGTATGAGCCACAAGGCAATGCAATTTTCTCGCCATTTATGATGCATTATGAATAATGTGGTGGTCAGTGGTCACTACTAAACCATTGGTCATGGAGTGCAAACGAGCCCGTCGTTGGTTTTATTTCGATCTGCAGGTAACTTCTTTAGTGAGAGGAAAAATACGCCCTACTCGGGATGCGTAAATGACACTCGCCTGAAAGGACCACGCGCATTGCCAAGACATCTAACGCTTGAACATTATGAGTTACACTTACCAAATGTAGCTTGGCACTGTTCGACTGTGCGTCTGTCTCACTCCATAACTCCAGAATGTCATCTCTGTGCTGTTGATGCACGATTGTGCGGCCCATGCTAGTCGCGTACGTCACTCAACAGCCGACAGAACGACCGTTCGTCGGCTCTAACTGGGTTATCCAATCTGGCATTTGAATTCAGATTAGGCGAATTCTGTTTCGATTCGCCAAGCTGGTGCGTTGTAGTGTGACGATGTCAAAAGAGCTTTGTTTTGGGCCCTTTCAGTATGGATAACGCTTATCAAGGAGCTATCGTGGCTGGCTAGTGTGATAAAATTAGCCAAGAAAATCTAACAGCCAATATGGTCCAAAATTGCTGTTCCCCAAAAGTTGCATTTTTGAAGGGCATGCCGTACCTACGCGGTTTTTTATTTCCCCTTTAAGTGAAAGTTGGCGGGTTCACCTCATTCAATCCTGTAACAGCATAATTAGATATTTGAATGCATTTGTAATAATTTGCTTAGGTATTATTTACATCATCATCATACCACATGTAATACATTTGAAACATTTGCATTATGTTCATTGCTCAGCCCCTACTGTTTTTGCTTAACATTATCCTTGGACAAAAGCACGTCAGGCACTCGTAAGGCCGGGATGTAAGAAAGAGAGAAAGTGCGATCGTGGGTTATTTGGGGACGTGTAATCGGCTTTGTGACGGATCACCTGAACAGAGTGGTCCCCAAACTCGGCTAATGCCGCTGATAAACGAGGGCCCTTATCTGACAAAAATAACTACCGAGTACTGAGTGTTGCGATGCATGAGCAGGACGCATAAGACTCGCGTCCGTCGGCATGGTCGGCTGCCGGAATGAACAGAAACAAAGAACAGGACAATCATATGAGGTTAAGCACGAACTTAACTCAGGCGCGTAACCACCACTGGGGACACTGGGGACCGGTCCCCAGTAACTTTTGGGTTACTGGGGATCGTCCCCAGTAAAACCGACGACCTCAATTTGCTTGAATAGCCAAATATTGTCTCTAAATCGACGTGAAGAGTAATATGTAGTCAACGGAAAACAAAACTGGATGTTTTGTTTAGCCAGCGCCCGGGTGGGCCTCTCAACCAACTTAGCCATGGTGGGGGGGGGGGGCTTTTTGGCCACACCAGATTACCTAAGCAAGCTAGAAAGACGCGGTAAGAAGCAGCAGATAGCTCGCTACAGTATCTTTCAGAATTACCTATGTCATTTTTGATCAAGTCATCGCTCAGGTCACTGGAGGTCACCAAAGGTAAAATTTTCACAAACTTTTATTCCCAATTTTGACAACTTTTCACAAATTGGCGCATACGTCAGGAACCAATAGAGCTGCAGTGCTGCGGGAAAGCGCATTCGATAGCTTTTTCAAAGACCTTTCTGAGCAATGTTCTCAGTTTTGACCTAAGGTCAACGGTTTAGCTTCCAGGTTGGCGTTTTGCGGGAAAGGTTTTTGTATCATAACTTTTGACTCAAAAATAGCATGGCGCTGATTTTACCGGCATCGCGTTGGTCTCGTCGAGACGCATGGAAGGAAAAGGTCATGTTGCATGTCATGCGATTGGTATTGTTGAGTTGAACACATCCATGGTGTTTGCGCTCTAACATATTTCTACCTAAAGTAATGGTAAAAAACTGTTGGAGATGTTTCATGACCTGAGATGATCTCAGAGGCATAGAAGGGGTCACAGGTGCAATTTTCCGGTTCAGTGTGTCATGTTTACCTGTGTCGGTGCGCGCCGCGGTTGTGCTTACACGCGCAACAAAACAAAAAAATGGCAGGTGTGGCCAAAAACGCCCCCCACCATCTCCCCCACACACACTCGGGCGAAGGCTGATCCTGAAATATTATATTTGGTCTTCGCGGCCTTCCATGTGGTCCCCAGTAACTTCAGACTCGTGGTTACGCGCCTGACTTAACTCTGGGGGTGGACCTCCCGCAAAGTCGTTGCGATTTTACTTCGGAGGTGGCTCAGGCTCCGACGGCTCAGGGCTGACGGCTCAGGCTGTATAGAGTGGATATGGGAAAACCGGCAGGAGCCTTTTGTATTCGAATGCTCGTCTCTGAAAGGATATTTTGTGTCGAATCTGTTATTAAATATGTGGTCAGCCGTAACAAGACGCTAGCTGCCAAACATGCCATTTCTGAAGTGTCGGGTCTGTTGTGGGGCCGTCGGTTTTCAGCGCTGCCATGCTGTGCCGCCGTGCGGGGGTGCACTGCGGGACAGTATACCACTTCAGTGTGCGGCTGCGCTGCCGGCCAGAGGCATCGATAAACCCATATCCCTAGCGGTAGAATCGGCATACTACCTACATATTTTCGTAGATAGCTATCACGGTGGTGAATTCTCTTTTACTTTCTCATATCGTTATTCTGCAGGTACTCGGCAGAAGTAGCACGGTTCGGCGTCTGAACAGTTGCATTGTGGTAAATTTGCTAGCAACTCTCCTCCATGTAACGGTAACGCCGCCTTAGTAGATCAGTCACTTGAGTTCATATAGCTCTTCATATATTGGCATGATCTCTGATCTCATATCATGACTATCCTAGTCTGTTCTGGAAAGTGTGACGCAGCGACGACAATATTCTGTCTAGGACGAGCGGCGGGAAACCGATCAGCTCGGTTATGTGTGGCACACAGTTTATGCGACCGATATGGTAGCCCGACACATGTTAACCTTTGATCAACAATTTTATCGAGATAAGAGATCATAATATCATTGACAATAGCCGACCTATTTGTGCCCAAAGCCTGCCGGTTTGGGAAACCAGTGCTGTTCTGGAAACCAAATAACTAGGCGAAAGTGGTGACCACGTTGCATTCCCCCTGGCAGTAAGTCTCACATTAAAGGCATGTATTCGGTTTCAGTATCAATAAAAAATGTCGCTCACGGAATCTTATGACGTCATATTATGAGTCGCGACAACTTAAGCACCGGAAACGGCTGCATAACCTCGATTATTCACAGAGTCCTGAATAAAGCAGTGGCAGTATCACTGGCGAGAAGCACGCATCCTGCATCATTCACCGCTCCCTGGATGACGTGCTTGCGGAGCAATTGATCCGGCTCGTCATATTTCTTGACCCTACATAAACCTTGGCTGGGTGAACTTTCATGCACTATCGACCACACATTGAATTGGCAGTGACCTACGCCGTATGCATATGGTTTCTGTTGAGACCTAACGACGACGTCGACTGATCGGAGGTCAGTACGTTGCATGGAAGCCTTGTGGACTGTAGCACCAGACGGGGGATTTTGGTCGGACGTTTCACTGGATCCGCTAGATCTCGTGAGCGCCGGACGCTCATGAAAAACATTGAGCCCACAAATCGCTCTGGTACGACACAGCAGTACTCATGGAATTCGAGGCTCGACAAAGTGCAAAAGGCGGATCATGCGAATGATGTAACTTGGACATTCATTTGGTAGTGGTGACCTACTTTTGCTGTGTTTTATACAGTAGCGGCGGAACACCTTCAATTAAGGGGGCACTGCCGACTTTTGGTCCCATTCTTTCCATGTAACGTCCATAGGGCTAATGTTAAAATGCCAAATTCAAGGGGGGCACGGTGCCCCGGTGCCGTCCCCCCCCCCCGTTCCACCGCCTATGGTTTTATACAACCGAAATGTACACGAGCATGACGCATAGAATTTCAAGCCTTGCAGCTATGGTGACGCGATTTCAGCGGGGGTGTTGGCGGGGAGGGTGGGGGAGGGGAGGGAACTGAAAACACCCGCCGCAGGCGCACGAACAGATGGAAACAGAAAGAGACTGAGCGTCGGCGTGCCCGGCGGGCCGACTGTCTCATCTAGTCAGCGCGTCCCGCGGGTCCCGGCTAATCAAATCGCTGCCCGCCGGCCGGCCGCGTGGGAGAAACTCTCTTCAACGGGATCAAGTTCGGGCCGGCGATGAAAACAAATATTCCCGGCGCACCTGGATACATCAGCCGGTGCGGCGCTGTTCGCGGCGCCGCCGCCGCGGTCCCAGCGCACAGCGCGCCATTCGCTGAAATGTCAGCTGCACGGCGACGACCGCTGCACAGACGCAGAGGGCGAGAATGTAGAGGAAACGGTGAAGATGGCCGCCATGTCAGGTCGTGTTGTGTGTTATTTTTAACACTGCTACTGGCTTAGCTCAAGCCTAACAATTTTATTGATTATTGTGACACTGTGCTCCGTCTTTTGGTTATAGAGAATTTGCCAGAATGGGTCAAACACAACAATTTCTTTTGACACTTGGAACAAAATATCGGACTGATTATAGGCGTAGATCGATTAGTCCGGCTCCTCTTTAGCTCCTGCTTCTCTGCTCCTCATCCTGGCTCCTTAGCGGTCTTCCCTTGGATTTGGCATGGACTCGACAAATGTGCAACGTTGCCTACTAATTGGGGATGATATATACCAGTATCACCTGCCACGTGATATCAAATATCACGTGCCACGTGCCCCACCATGGCTGACCACATGCCCTGTCCATAACGAGCCGCGAGGGTGGCGGTAAACGGTAATGCCTCCCATGGTCTGGCTCGTTGATGTAGTGGCCGTGCCAGTGCATTGCGCGGGTGGAGACTGATAACGAATCACGTACTCTAGCGGCATAACGTTGGTGACGACTG